ATTGAAAACAAACATATGTGACACTTAATTGTAATTTTGTTTCAATTGTTCATGCATTTTCGTGGTTGTTATTATTTCGTGTATGCTATCATGTATTTGTTTAATTGCTTCTGTCAGACGTGACGTATCTTATATGTCATGTTGATAATCAGTTATGTGGTGATAATTAGAAGTTGTTCTCTTTCTCATGATAACGTTTGATATCTTAGAAATTCTTATACTGTTATGCCAATAATAGTTTTTTGATTATCCTAATACGTGAGGTTACCAGAATAAACTTCTAACCAACCACCAACCCCTGTCACTCGTGTTTTGTTACAGTATTTATGGTATGGTAGTGGGGTGGAAAATATAATATGTCAAGTATCACGTGGTTACTTATATCAACATTTAATTGATAAGCTTTGTTTACAGATTTGTTTATGTAAACCTATTGATTCAGTTCATGTTTATCAATCATTAGACTATTATCTCATGATCTTGACATAGAGAAAGGTAGACATAATAATATCGCGAGACATGACAGAATGTGTACATGCTGCAATTGAGCCGAAATTGAAGATAAATACCATTTTTCACTTAAATGTCCATTTTGTTAAGATCAACGTCAAAAATATATTAAGAAATATTATTATCGAAAACCTAGTGTATTCAAGATAGTTAAGCTATTTAGTGTAAAAAGTGTTAAAGAATTGAATAGAACGGGAAAATTTGTTCATTTTTTTTATTTTATTTTTTAAATGCAGGGCTTATTATGATATTGAGTAATTAAAGCATGTAAACACTCCGTTATGACTCACTCTCCGTTTATTTGAATTTGCAACTTATGGGCCGCAAGGCCTAAGGAATAAAGAACATTGAAGAAAACACAGATGAAAACCTCCTAATATGCACGGTGCATGAGTCGCACTTTTCGACACGTAGTAGGAAACAGCAGACCTATTATTTTCCCAAAACCTACAGGGGTATTTATTAAGATGCATTTCAAACCTTTTTTTATACCCTCCCAAAATTTTGCTTATCATATATATATATAACCCAACCTAGAATTTCTTTACCACACTCCCTGACACTATTTTAATCGATACCGTATAATAAATACGGAATAAGGATATACAATTATTTCTTACATTTAAGTATTACTCAACACATATTTTCCATACCTTCCTGGATAATTTTGTATGGCTACATTGATTTTTTATATTTGCTCAGTATTCCTTTTAATGTCTATCGTACGTGTCCTTGCTTACTGTGTTCTCTGTACCAGCACCAATTATTGTTTTGACAGCTAGCTGTGTCATATACTATATGTACCTCTCTCGGACACGTTTTCGATATATACCAAATATGCATCCTCCGCACTATTTTCACTATTCCAGCCCCGGTGTCCTATAAAATATTCATCCCCATAAGATACCTATCAGGATGAGTATTTTATGCAACAGAATAGCTCCCAGAGCCCCAGTCCGCACAACTGTCACACCCTATAGTGTGTATTACCTGGACAGACATATAGTAATCATGTATTACAGGTAACATGATGTAACAAGAGGCCCAGGGGGCCTGTATCGCTCACCTGGATACCTAAGCAATCATGGCAAACTATTCTCCAAATGAGATCAAGGGAGTATGCCAGACCCCAAGGCCAATCCTTGTAGCATAGCTATATTAGATTTTTCATGCCCAGCAATTTTATGTATGGTTATGGGGTTGGGATCGATTCTAATATCTTGACTGCATTTGTCTCTTTTTGCCAAGCATTTGTATATATAGTTTTGGGGTAGGGATCTCAACCGTTTCAAAGTTATGACCCAGGGGCCAAGTCTGCAAGGGTGGGGCAGACCCTGGGATCAATTCTAATGTCATGACTGCATTCGTCTCTTTATGCCCAACAATTGTATATATAGTTTTGGGGTGGGGATATTAACCATTTCAAAGTTATGACCCAGGGGTTAAATATCCAAAGGTGGGGTAGTCCCCAAGGCCAACCTGGAAGCATATGTGCAATCATCTCTTTATCCTCAGCAATCGTATATATACGGTTATAGGGTGGGGTTCTCAACTGTTTCCATGCTTTGACTAAGAAACTAGGTCCCTAGGGGTTCGGTAAGACCCCAGGGTCTATTCTGATATCATGATTGCATTCGTCTCTTTATGCCCAACAATTGTATATATAGTTTTGGAGTGGGGATATTAACCTTTTCAAAGTTATGACCTAGGGGCCAAGTCTGCAAGGGTGGGGCAGACCCTGGGATCAATTCTAATGTCATGACTGCATTCGTCTCTTTATGCCCAGCATTTCTCTATATAGTTTTGGGGTGGGGATCTCAACCATTTCCAAGTAATGCATTTTATTGGCCCCCCCCCTTAGCCCGGGGGGGTCAGCCACACCATTTGTACAATTTTTAATCACCACCACCTAGAGATGCTTCCAGTCAAATAAGGTTGATATCCATCACTTAGATCCAGCGAAGAAGTCACTTAAAGCAGTATAGACAAATACCCTTTTTGGACCTGCCCCTCAGCCCCCTGGGGAGTCAGCCCCACCATTTGCACAATTTTTAATCACCACCACCTAGAGATGCTTCCAGTCAAATATGGTTGATTTACACTTCTTAGTTCCAGAGAAGAAGTCGCTTGAAGCAGTATAGCCAAATACCCTTTTTGGCCCTGCCCCTCACCCCACTGGGGGGTCAGCCACACCATTTGTACAATTTTTAATCACCACCACCTAGAGATGCTTCCAGTCAAATATGGTTGATTTCCACTTCTTAGTTCCAGAGAAGAAGTCGCTTGAAGCAGGATAGCCAAATACCCTTTCTGGCCCTGCCCCTCAGCCCCCTGGGGGGTCAGCCACACCATTTCTACAATTTCAAATCCCTGCCTCCTAGGAATGCTTTTGATCAAATATTATTGATATCCAGTGCACAGTTCTACAGAAGAAGTCGTTTGTAGCAATATAGCCAAATTGACCCCTTTTGGCCCCGCCCCTAAGCCCCCTGGGTAGTCAGCCCCACCATTTGTACAATTTTTAATCACCACCACCTAGAGATGCTTCCAGTCAAATATGGTTGATATCCACTTCTTCGTTTCAGAGAAGAAATCGCTTAAAGCAATATAGCCAAATACCCTTTTTGGCCCTGCCCCTCAGCCCCCTGGGGGTCAGACACACCATTTGTACAATTTCAATTCCCTGCCTCCTAGGAATGCTTTTGATCAAATATGATTGATATCCAGTGCACAGTTCTTTCGGACCAGGTGAGCTAATAATGTTGTAAGTTTTGTATTTAGTTAAAAAGTTTTGATAAAATTAAGGGAGGATGAATATTTTATGGGGGGGGGGATGAGTATTTTATGCATAAAATATTCATCCGGATGAGTATTTTATGGGGGATGAAAATTGTATATGACACCGGATCGTTGTTTACGTCAGTGATAGGTGTTTCTCCTATCTTTTTCCTTTACACTACACCCGGATAGTTTGTATGACTATCATTTATGGATTTTATATTTCTCACCACTATCACGATTATTATCATTTATGTGTATATTCATAACCATGTTAGCTATATCTGCTAACTGGAGACTAAACCTACATAAATGTAACAAAAAACGTACATTAAATGGAAATCAACCTTTTTGCTTTGCTTGTGACCAACCATTAACGTCAACCACTTCATGATTTAATGCGCCGATTTTAACAAATACGTGAAAATTTTATAATATAACAAAAATGAAAAGCTTGTTTGATACAGTTTCTGGGCCATTAAAGTATGATTTGTTACATACAATTAATATGTATACAGATATGTGGTACCAGTTTTACTACCAATTTATTTGCTTTTGCTGGTTTGTTGTTCATATATCACAAATTTAAACATGTTATATTCAAATTAATGTGTTCCTTTTTCCGGGTTTGGGAGTAGAACACACTGCTATCCTCATGCGATCATGCAGCATTATATCATTTATATCATTTAGTTCGGTTTTATTGGGTTTCACGTTCTATTAACAGCTAAGGCCACAAACATGCTCAGGTACAATAGTAAATATGAGGGAAAAGTAAACAGGTATACATGTTGAAATGGGTACAGCAAATACATTTTGATTTCTTCAATGTCTCCTTTACACAGCATAGAAAACAGTCTGCAGAGAGCCACAATACATCGCCTCGACAATCAAGAAGTATGATATATGAACAGGTATTATTTTCCCCCGAACCTGCATAGGTACTTTTTTACATTTAACAACAAAGCGGTTATTTTCCCTTTTGCTAATGTCATATAGTAAGTTGCTTCACGGCCCAGCGACGGTAAAGTCACATCGGGCCAGTCAAAGAAAAATAAAGGACATTTACAAAACTGAATACGCCAAAAGGACCGTAATGACAAAAGGGAAAAATCTGCTTACATACGCACACCGTGAAATGGAAATATAACAGGGATTTTGAAATTTAAAATCTATGTATTGAACAACTTATATTCAAAACTCTGGGATGACCGTTCCGTTTTAAAGAATGCAATATGTAGTTATACAGCCCGAGCTTTTGAGAAGACATAAATCCGTGATCAATCAGTGAATTCTGATCCTATTATCGATGCATGCTCAAAATGTCAATAAAGCTGTAAAAGAAGCGAAACCAAAGTCAACTTATACACCTGATCTTCGGTGATACACAGCGTTGTTTGTTCAACTGTCGTGTGATTGGTCAACATCATACAGCTTTGCCCGTTACAAGCCGGTGTGAGTGGCGTGCTGATCAGTGCTAGAATGGCTGTTGGGTCTTGTGGACGGGCGGTAATGGCAAATATTAATACGTTAGCGGTGATTCTAAAGTATCAAAGAATCAACACGATACTGTGACAAACGAGGAGCTACTGACAGCTTCGTTCGCTAATGACTGCAATACTCATTGTTCATCATCATACCTAAGGATTATTTTTTTGAATGTTTTGACATAGTATTGCACAGTTAGTTTCGCCTCTCGGTTGTCTGTAATATTTACATAAATCATGGCGTTGAATAACACAACAGACTCGATGGATTGCGATTATTTAGACAATGGTACAGGTGTTACCGGGGATATGAATGTGGCTGTTTCTACTTATGTTGTTGTTGTGTCATACGCATGTATATTCCTTTGTGGTATAGCCGGAAATGGTCTCGTCATCTACGTCGTTCTGCGATACGCTAAGATGAAAACGGTCACCAATTTGTATATATTAAATTTGGCAGTATCAGATTTTCTATATATTCTACATTTACCACTGATATCCACCACCACGTATCTAAAATACTGGATGTTTGGTAATGCCGTATGTAAGATCAACTTTGTATTGTATTCGATCAGTTTTTTCGCTGGAGTTTTTACCCTGACATCGCTTGGAGGAGACCGTTACATTGCTGTATGCCATGCAATAAACTCTCAAGAATACCGAAAACCGAAGTATGCCACCCTCATCATCATTGGCATTTGGTCACTTTCGTTCTTCGTCATGCTGCCTACAATTCTCTATTCCAAAACCGTGCCCAATCACAATTTCCCGGGTAAGCTTACGTGCACGATAGAATGGCCATCAGGACAACTCATACCAACTGAGAAGGCGTACACCTGGTATACGTTCCTGCTTGGGTTTGGTATTCCTGTTTCTCTTATATCTGTGTTTTATCTCCTTGTGATACTGAGGCTAAGGACTGTAGGGCCAGTGAATAAATCCAAAGAAACAAGAAAGGCACACAAGAAGGTAACTAGAATGGTGCTTGCAATCATATCTATTTACATTGTTTGTTGGCTGCCGTACTGGTGCTTTCAGGTAAACCTGACATTGCGACCAAAAGACAAAAGTCTGGAAGACTGGGAGATACTCATGTTCAATATCTTCACTGTGTTGACATCTTCGAACAGTATGCTCAATCCTATTTTGTACGCCTTTCTTAGCGACAATTTCAGACGAAGCTTTCTAAAGTCATTTCAGTGCACTAATCTAATGGATGCCAACAAAAGCTTATATGGAGAAAGCACTTTACCAACAAAACACAGACGCAGTCACGATTACGCCTTCGGAAAGGGAAAAGATATGGAAAAAATAGAACTAAAAGAGAAAGAAAAAGAGAAAAAAACTACGGAAAATAACGAGTATCAAACACAAACAAACGGCAATGTCACTGAGAAGTGTCGTCTGCTTCAAATACACAAGTTCGTAAAACATACTGAGGAGAAAAATGACAACGACAATAGCCTGGATGTTGAAGAACCAGACGACGTTGGAGATCATTCTGACACCGCTGCGTTATATGCAGACAAACAAATTCAAACACGGGAAATTGTGTAATAGGCTGCGCTGAGACGTGCCATCCATAATTCTCGTAAATCAGACATGCAGTTAAACACGTGACTGTCACAAGAGTAGGCTTTAAATCAGGATAGTATACTCAGCACGTAATTAATGTGGCACGCATACCGATTTATATACATTGTAAGTACTCATCATCTTCATTTCATATTGTTGTACGTAAATGCTTGACGTTGTGTTATTGCTGTTTCTCCTGTGTATATAATGTGCATTTATTGATTCAATGTGTCAGATTATGAAATTGAAATCGACTGCATCTTTTCAAATCGTACAGATAAGTTTGGCATCGTCAATTATTGTTCAAATGCAATGTGTTTATTAAGAAATATTGTTACAGTATTAAGGATTAAACTATATAAAGAACTGACAGCTTGGTTATTTAGGAAACTCATCAATCAACCGAACTCAATAAATCTTATCATCATCTCCCAAACAAGTTGGTTTTGTGATTTTATTAGAGTGGACCACCACCAAACAAAGGTGTTATTGCCGTTGTTTTTATAATACAAAATATTGTATTCATTATGATTGTTTCCTCGTTTCAATGTTACCATGAAACACTAAAGAATACAAACTAATATTTTACGATAATATATAACATGAAGCTTCCCATCAGTTTCGTCTTTCAGTAAAAGGCTGGTTGATTATGGCGTTAAGATATTGCCATTTCGTAAATGTGTAGAGTTACTATCGACTTGTTATGGCTTTCAGGAAGAAAACAAAGGAAAACATAACACGCACACAACACTGAAAAATTGTTTGCGTTTTGTCAGTATTACCTCTCACAATGATGTGTCAACCAACCACATCATTAATGTCTTATACAGTCATAGCAACGGCCAATCGGTAATCCGGCAAATTATGTATTTCCACTTCGTTAAATGAGTAAATGAACTTCAGGATAACTGTATTGGTATTATTTCAAAGGGAGCATTCATACCTCCTAATCTTTAAATCACATGAACTGGTTTTGGAGCAAACAAGCTGACCAAAACAAATGTGTTTATTTTAAAGAGTATTTGATTGCTTTTTAATTCATCTGCAATTCTTTGTCTATAACACAATCTCAACCTTTGGTAGTTCCCCAGAGGAAAGATTACTTTTGCAGAATACATTTTAATGAGTTATTACTAAAAGCATGCATAATGTGGCAGGATTGAATTTTATCAAATTTAGTTTAATGTTGTATAATAATTGTTGTATAATAATATGTCCAGTATAGAGGTCAGTTGTGTGACGTCAGTATACATCTATTATCTGATTGGCTATTGGGTTGGCGCGCGATACCTTTGTATGACTAGGTAGACGAGAGACGACAACGACAACTGACAAGAATATAAGTGAGGTATAAACTCGATTTCTCGATTTACAAACTAACCTGTCGATCTTTTCTATTTGTCCTTTCTCCTGTCCGGCGTGCGGTATTTCCCGCGAGCAGTATCTGATATTATTTATACGGTATTTTATATTATTTTAAATAAAACATGTATGTGTGCGTACGCTGGGTTTACCTGAGTGACCGCCATTACACCGGCCGGTACGATTGTGTTTATATTCCATATCTTATTATTTGTATCGTTTATGTTTCCAGACTTGAATATGTGTACAGACTAATACATGAGCTGGACATATTGTAAAGCCTTCTGCCACACAGAGGTGATTATTTCATTATAAGTCATAAGAATCCCAATATATATATATCCTTTTGAATGTCCCGTCATAGTGTACGTCCGTGAATAGTTTTCACCATTTATGAGTAACGTCAACAGTAAATGCCAAAAGGCCATACACTTATAATATAATATATGTGTAAAGGTAAATTGTAATCCATATTGTAACTAATAGATAAGGAAATAGTATATGCCCTATTTCCAATTCTTTATTTGTTATTATATAATCCCCGGTTAAACGTACGTATTTTACAGCTAAGTGTTAATTGTCAGATTGTACTCGTTTCTGTAATATATGTATCGATAGCGTTATGTGTATGCGTAGTAAAGTATTGTATGTTTGTATCGTTGCAGGGTAAGATTTACCTACAATAAAACCACTGGTTCGTTATTAAAACGTCGAGCTTGGGTTGTTTATTTACCCCCAAATACCCCTCGGTTTCAATAATATAATGAAGTATTTTGGTGTGAAACAAAACAGAAAAAGTATCGGTATATTACCATAGTAGAAAATGATAATAAAATCTTCAAGATTATGTGAGATTGTGCATTTGCTATGTTTGGCATGTTAAACAAGTATTTTATCGTTTTTGATATTTCATGAAAATGATTCGGCTGACAGAAAATATACTAGTATGTGGAAAGTTTTTAAAGAAGTATGAAATATAGACTACCATTGTAACTATACATAGGCAAGTTGACAATGTTGAGTGTATCTGAAATTTAGTGAAACTTTTGCATGTTTTTCTAAAAACAAATATCACTACGCTTACTTCATGTATATCAATATGACATATTTAGTATCAAAATAACAGTCATTTTATACACTATCCAATATCATAATTAAATTCGCCTGTGACATTTATCTGTCTTTTTGTAAGGATACCTCCATCACTCAACCTGGTTTTGTTTAGTTTAGTTTAGTTTTGTTGAACGTCCTATAAAGAGCTAAGGTCAATTAAAGTCGTGCCTCCATGTGTGTAGTGTATGCGTGCTTGCGTGTGTGTATGCAGGAGACATGTTATGTTGGTCGGCTTGCTTCCTTGTGATTGCGCGGATATGATGCCGACTTTATAGTGCTATCTCACTGAAATGCCATGCCGAAGGCACCAAGCTTAGCATTTGGCCCGGTAAAAAATAAACTGACATCAAGTGAACCAGTTGTTGCCAATCCCCTTAATGCTTAACGCTAAACAGGGAATAACAACTACCATTTTTAAGGACTTTGGTATGTCCCGGCCTGGGGACAAAACCCATTGCCTTCCTCACCTGGGCAAACGCTCAACACTCAAGCCAAAAGTGAGGTGTTGCCAAGCAAGGCGCTAGAAAATAAAAGGTAGTTAGAAGAAGAAAGAAAGATAAAGAACCCAAATATCGCAATGGGTGCAGCAGATTTATTTTAGTCGCTTTTGTGTCCCCAAAAGGAGGTCCTATACGGTTATCAGTAATAATAATGTATAATCATATATGCAATTATTGTTCATTTTTCTGTATCTACATATGGCGAAAATATCAAATGAATAGAAGCAGGGGCCGAATGAACCCCACCTTTTCGATTAAATAGCGAGCGAACATTTCGAAATTACAGGTATATTTGACAACATATGAGGCTTTGATTACTCTTTGTATTGGTAATACCCATAATTAGTCACCTTTAGTTTTTAGTGGGTTTAACGTTCTCGCAATAGCTAAGCTCAGATGAGTACGGGTGACTGGGCACATTCTAAAAGGTATGAACAGATAGTAGATAGTAAATCGATCACAAGCGGTGCAATCCGTGCAGCACATTATGCAAAGGGGCTCACGCTAGTTGCTGTATACGACAAGCAATGGTATACAGCAGATTTATACTATCTCCGAACTTGCTCTGCGTAATCATTCGCCTTTCGCACTCATGATTTAGTTTGCTACGGTAGGAATTCATACATAGTTATCTTCCAATTTTCATCATGTTTAATGTTGTTTGTCTTTGTAACAGTTAAAGACACACGAAAAAAAACGACGAGGTCATTCAAAGGGCAATAAGTTATATAACTGGATACAACATGACACTTGGTCAAATATATTTCTTAATATAGGCTAGCCACATATACCTAGTGATATTGAACCAATAAGACGTAGGCATGAGCGATGTTTGGTGTGGTTTATGTTAAGCGTCCTTTTAACAGCTAGCGTTAATTGAGGGCATGCCTCCATATGTGTAGTGTATGCGTATATGGGTCTCTTCTCCAAGAAAATTATATTTAAGCTTAAGTGGCTCCCATATCAGTCGCCCTTTACGACTACACCATATGATACGGCCGAAAGACTATGTTCCCGAGCTTAAGGGACATGTTTGAATTATATGTTCTTTTTTTCTCGAGTAATTCATTTCTATGCCAGTAGGTGATATTCGTGATTACAAAAAAATACAAATCTCCCATTAGGACTGAGCATTAATCTCCCATAACGATGTTCGAATATCTGTTCAGGTTTCTGTTTACACCGACACAAATCTCCCATTAGGACTAAGCATTAATCTCCCATATTGATGGTCGAATATATTTGTTCAGGTTTCTGTTTACATCGACACAAATCTTCCATTAGGACTGAGCATTAATCTCCCATTACGATGTTCGAATATCTGTCCAGGTTTCTGTTTACACCGACACATATCTCCCATTAGGACTGAGCATTAATCTCCCATAGCGATGTTCGAATATCTTTTCAGGTTCCTGTTTACACCGTAAGTAGTCCGGCCCAATTTTGTTAACATGTCGTTGATACAACCGTGAAGTGGCAGGCAACGGTTCGTTAAGGGTTAAACGTCTTCGCAATAGCCAAGATCACATGATGACGGGTAACTAGGGAGACACCACTCGGAAAAAAAGGTGGAGTAGTTAGGTAAGAAAAGCTGTAGATTCAAAGTGTGACAAAGGGAGAAACATATCGATGTTGGTTTCTTTGCTGTCCTTTTAGTAGAAAACACCGACGAAATCCCACGATTTTGCAGGGCCCTCACAATAGTCAGCTCTTACTACTAAGAGAAAGCTTTGGCCTCCCCCGAACCTGCAGAGAGGTCCCGAAACAACAGCATTATCGCATACATGTCATCACTGCAAATGGCAAATCAAGGAACAATAACAAAAATATATTTCAGCAAATGAGTTTATATATTTTAATATATTTTTTCCCGGATACGTTTGATCAGTTCGATATGAACAATAAAGGCTAAGATATTTTGTTTTATTTATCGTCTGTATTTTGTCGACAATATGTTTATTTGGGGTTAACCAGCCAGGGTCATATCAGGGCTGGTGTCCAGGAATATACCGCTGAAAGAAGGAGTAGGGACGTGAAACAGGAAATATGTAGATCCCAAGTGTTGCCACGGAGGCAGGAAATCAATTTCGGTTTCTTCAATTTCCCTTCAGCAAATGACAGTAGATTCTCTTATTCTACCGTCACCCAGCTGCCTGTCAATAACGTGCCATTCATGTCAATTATATATATTATCTACCAGTGATATTTGTAGATTTAATTAAATCTTAAAATACCGAAACTGACGACCCTGGTAATTAAATGTCATGCTCAGTTTCAACCTTCCGCCGTATGCACTTTAACGGAGATAGAAGACAAATGTCATTATATATTGATCGTACCTCATCGTGATCAACCTAAATGGAAAAGGCTGATTTAGAAACGGATAAGAATATCGACAATTTTCAATGACAAAACCATTTAATTCAATCAATAAACTAATGAGTCTACTCACT